ATATAGTGTATATATATATATATATATATATATACACACACATATAGTATAAGGTACTGTTAGTTTTGAGTAATTCAATTTTTTCCCGGGATTGTAGATTTTGGTTTAAGGAACACAAGTTTTTAAAGTCAACAATGTTATGTGATATCCGAAATAATGTAAGGCTAACTTGTACAAATTTGAAAATTATTATTTTAGATCAAAATCTCCAAAAGACCGAAGAAGCCAGTCACGAGGTAGATCTCATCAGTCTTATTCTTCTGAATCTTCACATTCTTCAAGGTAGGAGTACCATATTAATTCAAATAAAGAGTTGTCATGATTATAAATTAATACATATATAAAAGTATATAACTGTGTATGTCACTTGTTCATTTTTGTCATTACATAGGGAACAGGAATTAAAAGTTGTAATGTTCTTATAGATAGAGGTTTTAAAATATATTACTAAGAATATTGTGTTGACTGTATTTCTGTTGTATTTTTCCCCTGAATGACTCGGTGGTAAGTCTAAGAGTTCACACCCCTAAAAACTGGGTTTCAATACTCGTGGTAGACACAGCACATATATCCCATTGTGTAGCTTTGTGCTTACAAACATTGTGTTTTACTACCTATTGTTTAATTCATAACATTTGAAAGGATTTAGAGCTGAAATTCTGTGCTAACATAAACACTGCATAGTATACTGTAAGAAGAATAAATAATGGTTTCAGTAGCTACTAATGAAAAGTCAGTTATTAGCCATGCCAATATCCAGCAATTGTTTATTTAATTGTTTACTGTTTGTATTTTCTAGATCATCACGTTTTTCATCCTATAGTTATTCACGTAGTTCCAAAAGCTCTGTATATAGCACTGGAAGAAGAAGGTTAGTCTTTTATATCAACCTATTTCTGTAGTTTTGATCAGTTAACCCATCTTGACTAGTGGGAAATTCTGCAGAGTCAAGAGGGCACCAAGGGCATGTTTGCATATTTTCTCATCTTAATTGGAAATACTAATTTCAACTCCACTTCACTAATTTTTTTAGTCAAAAGTATATAAGAATTTAAATTTTGTAGCATTTTATTTTCTGTAATTTATAAATAAAAATAAATAAAAAATGGTTAAACATTGTGTAGTTTCAGTGCGTATTATCTGTAAATAAATCCTTTACAAATTGTTTTTATAATTTTTCTGACCATTTCAAAGTACAGGATTATATTTATCTAGACCATGTCATACTTTACAAATACTTATTCAAGGTTTTACTTCTTGTGTAAATTTTACATTCTTCTAATGACTTTTTGCAAGAAACCTATCTTTATGATACTGCAGCAAGTGGGTTGGGTAGTAATTAATAAATTGTAGCCTCTAAACAAGATATAACCAATGGTTAAACATGATTGGATAGAAAACATTCTTGTCTGTCTACTTAATAGCAAAGTGACATTGGGTAAGCAGTGATGTATGATTTCTGAAAAAAAAAAAGTGAGAAGCAGAAGTTCTTTTGGGGAAGAACAAATAACTCTGAAGTGAAGATTATAAAATTTAACAAACCACAAACCTGTTTTTGTTTTTTAAATACTTTCTATTGATTTTGTTTTCATTCATTATAACCTTTTTTGTGTTATGTATGTTTTAAGTTTTAAAACACAGGAATATTCTTATATGAGAAAGCAAGGATATTTAGGATTAGTGAGTCTAGTAACCTAGGAGTTCTGTGACAGTAAACAGTTCAGATGACAGAAAAGGTTTTTTTTTTGTTTGTTTGAGTATATTAGTAAATGTATTATTTCTTGAACAGCATAGACAAATACAAGAACTCCTTAATTATAGAAAACAAACTATAATTATTATTGTAAAATCAAGCTTGTCCAAAAATATAGTTGCAACAGTAACACCTATATTGTTGTAAGCTGATAATGCAAGTTCAATTTGTGTTTCTACCATTATATGCTTTTACTGTTTTTGCATCTACATAACTGCTTCAATAGGTAAAGGTAATAAATATAAATGAATTGATGAAAATAAGTTAGACCTAATTAGATATATATAAAATGTATCTTTCTGATCAATAATATTTTTTTACAAATTGGTTCTATTTCTTTCTTTGATATTTCTGATAGTCACTTTCTTTGTATGCAAAAGTTTTTATGAATAACTGAGAAAATGAATATACTGTTATTAGAATAACACAAACACAACTGTTAAATATTTATTGAGAAAATAACTTTATTGGATACCTTTACATGATTTTAGGCACACAATTAAGAAAAACTGAAACTAAGAACTTCAAAATGAAAGGAAGTATTTTATAAACATTGTTTTAAAACAAAATTTCCAAAAACTCACAACATAAAATATGATACACAAGTACCAAAGAGCATTTTTTATTTTTTAGCACAAATTACATACTGTGTAGAAAGTTATACCAGATTTCATGCAATTAGGCTGAACATTTTAAGTGTGAGAACAAAAATGCTGGTCTGGTTAAAGTTAATGTTATTTTCTTGCAGATGTTTGTAAACATTTGTTTGAGTGGTCATATCATTTAATTGTGTTTATTTCTTATACATATGATAAATATTTATCAATAATGTCTTAAGGAATGAAATTGGGACTTAGAGTATTAAAATGTTGTTTATTACACTTATGTTATGATTATACTTTGTTACAGCCCTCATCAGCGCTCATTCTCAAAGTCACGTTCTAGGTCACCATACTCCACCTTACCCACTAAACCTCAACCTGAATTCAGACCCAAAAGACAAACTCCTCCCACTGGGTAAGCTTACTGTAAAATTATTTTACTCTTGTCATTTTATTCCTATAACTTAAACTTTTACAGATAATATTGTGTGCTGTATTTTGTTGTTCTTCCTTGTCTTTCCTAATTAGCACTAAAATATTTGTTAGTAATAATACCCTCTCTAAAATAAAGAACTTTTATTTCTTAAAAAATAATCAAGGAAATATTAAGTCATAAACTTGATGCAAGTTTCTGTATCTATATAAAAGTTACATTTTCTTTATTTCTATATGGTATCTTTGTTTATTAATTGTTAAATTCATAATGACATGTTTTAACTAAATTAGTGTTGTTCATTTCCATAGCATTTTTTTAAAGTTGAACACAAGTGTTTATATCATAATTTCCATTTATCTCTCTCTGTTTTATATATAAAGGAGTGAGAACATGTTTGTTTTTCTATAATATTTTTATATATTATTAGAAGCTTATAAATACAGAATTTTTATGTCATGTAAGTGGTATTGTGTGTTTTGTTTTGTTTTTATTATAAAATATCTGTTCTCAGCCTGTTTCTGTTGTAATTATCTTGTTCAATATTTGTTTGGTGATTTTATTTGACTTGGAATTTAAAATCTTTATCCCTCCATAAGTTTTTTATTTCATACTTGTTTTCCTTGGTGTAATAATTCATTAGGAGTTATTTATTTTGCCTAATTATCAGGGATACTGTCCTTCACTGTCAGTCATTGTGTTTAAATGATATTGATGAATCCTCTACCCATGATGTGAATTTTGTAAATTAAGTAGATTTTAACACTTCATTAAGGAGTAAAATTTCTTTTGGTGACTAATTCATTCTCAACTCATTCCCTCCAAGACAGAATAATGTTTTGGTTTCATAACCTAATTAGGGTGTTCATTTGATCATGTGATTTTAACTATACCTATATTGTTTTTTCTTTCAGTGTGATCTAGTTATTGTGGCATCATTAGATTTCCTTTGGTACATGATCACAGGATTCTTTATGTGGTGGAACTTGCTCTCCAACTTCAGAGAAGAGTACACATTATTACTTCCCATGTATTTTCCCCCTGTCTGGTTTCTTTTTCTTTGAGATCTAAACCATTATATGTTCTTAAATGTTGAGGGTCCAAGTTTCTGGATATTGCAGTAATACGAGCAAAACTGATATTACCCAGAATCTAATCTTGTGCTTTTATTGTTTTCAACTTTCTCTGAAAGGTACCTAAGAACTCAACAGTTAATGCAAAAAAGGCTTTAGAGTGATCAGCATGGGCATTTTTCATGTCTGTTCATTACCTGTTTTTTTGTTATTTTAGTTCTGTTGTGGGATGTACTGTATACAGGATTTGTTCTTGTTTGACCGTTACTCTGTAATTAAAATCTTTTCTCAAACTGTGTGAACTTTTAATTGTCTAGTTGTTTAATTTCAATTGCATTTTTGACTTGCATAGACAATTGGCTCTTGTTTTCACTTTCACACAACCATTGCATTTGGGACATGAAAATTTTATATGATAAAATATATTATATATATATATATTTTATATGATATGGGTTTGTGTTTCACCTTGTTTAATATTTATGTCTCACCTTGGATGTGATGATCAACTCCAAGGAAGTTACCCACGTTTTGATAAAAGTTCAGGTCTCTGTCTGTCTTCTTGCCCATCTAGAGGTTGGACACACACAAGACCTTCAGTATGAATATCTGAAAGACCAATAAATATTTTCAATAATCCCATCATTTGACTTGATTTCTTGGCTTCTTATGTTTTCATTCCCATGAGTACATTGATAAATGGACAAATGTTGGACTTGTTTCTAAAACTGTGATGTAAGTTTCCTCTTCCACATTTGATTTGTTTTAGAGAGGTGCTGTGGCCTGCTCTCCTAGTCAATCATATTGACAGTGTGATGTTAAACTCTAAGAATATTTAAATATTATAATAAGAAAATGTGAAATATTTTGTTTTAACTAAACTTTATTTTTTGCTTTAGACCTGTCAGACAGCAATATAGATCACGACCTTTCCCAACCTATGAAAGGAAGAAAATCTCACAACCACAGCTGTCTGCTCTGCCCCTCCCTCTTTCAAAAGAAGGATATGACAAACAAAAAGACTTGCAAAGGTAAGATATTGTTATCCTTCAAAAAAAGACTTTTGTACTCTGGTTTTTATGTGTTAAATTTGTCTCAAATCATTTGAAAAGGTAATTCTTCACACCTTGAATCCCTCTGTGAAAATAAAAAATATTGTTTGGTAGAAATTGAATAGGAATAGTTTTATATTTTTGAAGGTATATTGTAAGTATAATAAGTCATTTTTAGCTCGCATGTTTATTATTCAGCAACTTGTGAACATTTCAGACTGAAAATAATCCCTGTCATTATAGGTGGTGAGCTTATGTTGCTGAAATAATATTATTTATTTTTTATGGTTTTAAGTATTTGTGCTACCTCCAATTGTCATGTATATAGTAAAATATGTTATAATAAAATGGTGTAACTTTTTTTTGATTTGTAAACACAACCTTTTACCATATAGACTGAGAAGAATCAAAAGCAGAAGCTTTAGTGCAAGTAGTAGGTCAAGATCTCGCTCACTTAGCAGGTAAGATAAAAATTTGAAAAGATTTATTTATTTGTTGACTGCTGTGACAAAATTTCTAACACAGTGCATATTATTGTTGCATAATATTAAATATATAACAGAGTGAAGTTATACAGTCATCATAGTTTGTGTATTTGGCATTTCAATAAAGTTTTTTTATGACAACCTTCCTTGTATCTAATGGATATCTCAGCTGATGTTGAAAAATGTGACTTAGTATTTGAATCTGAATAAAAGTGTAGAATATATCCGAGAACATTAATGTTATGTGTTATTCTGATAAAATAGTTTCTTTAAATTAGGTCAAGTTGCTCACCTGTACACACGCCATCTCAGTTACACTCTAGGACCTACTCGCATTCTCGCAGTATAAGCATGAGTAGTGTTTCCTCAGCTTCGAGCAAAAGCTCACAATCTTCTGTCAGATCAGAAAAGGTTCAGAAGACACTTGCTGGGCCTAGTTTGCCTGACAAACGGGGTGAGTAGAAATAATAATTGTTTGCTGCTGCTTGACAAGATAACCATCAGATTATGCGATTGCTCTGCTAGAATATTAATAATAATTTTTATATTCATTATTAAATTAGAAAATATAAACCTATTTTTTAGGATTGAAATAGCTTCTGTCAAGGAATGTTAAGATACAATTTCAATAAACAATATAAAGATATATATTGTGGCTATTTATCTTTCTTCATACATCAAACCTTTAGGCCATTCTATATCACTTTGGTTATTTTTTTTATTTTGTAGAGAAAAAAAATTGTTGAAAATCCTAATCCATTTTTATTTTTGAAGTTTTTTAATATTTAATCATTTGGTCTTGCTTTACATAAAATTCATGCTAGATGGACCTATTTTAAGGCTTGATATTTATGTTTTTATATAATGAATCTATTCAAATATAATTTGACCTCTTTGTTACTGTTTAAAAAAGATCTTGCAAAGTTGGCATGTATGTTATAGGTTATTAACTATTCAAAAAAATAATTTTTTAATAGAATCTAAACTGCAAACAGAAAAGCCAGCTTCCAAAATACCAAACAGAGAAACAATAGTTAAACCAAGAGAAATAAAAAATAAGGAAAAGTTGACTCCCAGCAGAGATGGTGCACCTTGTGAGAAAAAAATGGGGAAATTGGAAATACCAGTGAGATTTCATGATTACCCATCAAATATTGTCCAGAAGTTATCAAAGGATCCCTTGAAACATATAGGTCATAAGCAACAAATAAAGTTGACTCTTCTTAATAAGGTATTAAAATTTTTGCATGTGTGTGTATTTTAAATCTTGTAATTCTTTATTGTTTTTTAACTAATATTCCACCATTGTGGTTTTTCTGCAGGGTGTGTGAATTAGCCTTTTAATTTGTATTTTAATCAATTTGCACATTCTGTTCAAGTTATGTGTATCGATGTACAGTAATTTATAATTTTGAAAAAGTTTTTTTTGTGATTATTTTCTGACTCTATCAATTGAAGTATTTGTAAGTGTTTGCATACTTGCAATAATAGATAATTTAACATTTATATATGTTGAATGTATAGAAACCATTCCAACATGTTTTATAAGAAAAAGAAAGTTTTTGTTTTTTGTTGGTTTTTTACATTTGTGTTCCCAAATTTCGATACATGAAGTAAGTGGCATAACTACAAAAGATGGGATTCCCCCACATAAAAAGCAATTGGGCTCCCTACATTTACTTCACTGTAATTGTAGATATGATTCTGGCTGGCTGGTATCATTAACTTAACTGAAAATTGCATCTAGCATTTATTTTTGAATTACACATGTATCAAACTTTGGGCTAGTTTGTTTACACATTGGTGAAAGCAAAGTACATAGTAGTACTCATAGAGGAACAATAATTATTATATTTCCACCATGATAACACAGACCATTAACCCTATATCCATGGGCATCCTTTACTGCACATATCACAAGGTTTTAGCGACTTACATTCAAAATTTAATTAAACTACTTTTTGTGTATGTTATACCAAGTAGTATAGCATAAAATCGTAGCTAATAAACCATGTTTTAATAGTATATAAGTTTTAAGTTATTAATTTATAAGGCATAATTTAAAAAAAAAATCCTGAATTTCCCCAGTGTGAGAAATGTGACATATTTTCTCTAGGCATCCCCGTTTCTCTATTTTATTCACCATCCCTCCAATAAGTATGAATTTTAACATAATTTACTCATGATAAAGTTGTCATTGCTCAGACAAACCATAATTTTTATAGCCTTCAGTCTTGTTTTGTTAGAGCCATCAAATAAAAAATCAGACCCCTCCTGCCACACCCACCTGTCACATCCTCTCTTTCAGGATTTATTAATAGCTCTCTCTTATTCTTAATATTATAGTATGTATAACCAATAGAAAGCAAAGGTTTTCATCTATCAAATGACATTTTGGATTACATTGTTTTCTGAACAGAGAATTGTAATTTTCTCTGTTAGTACAAGCTTTGTTCCCTAGCTAACAACTAGCTTGGATGAATTTGTAACGGCTCTTGTTTCGTAGTTGGAAAATCAGAAAAATTGTGATAGTTAGGGGGAAACTGTCTGCTTTTAGCATATTATTATTCTGTGTTCTTTGGTGCATTATTTAATTAAATGAAAATTATTTAGTGCATTACCATTAGCATAAAAAGAAAGTAAGGTTGAGTGTCATCGACAGTCGACAGCAAAAAAGAAGACCCTGGTAAGTACTTTATTTTATGTTTTTTGTGTTTATTTATTATTATAAAAATAATTAAAATGCAAGAATAGGGATCTTTTTAAGTTAGTTAAGGTTATATTAGGTAAAATAAATAATAATAATATAATAAAAATGTTTCATGTGACACGCATGTGAGCAGCTCAGAGTAGTTTGTGGGTATTGTAATTTGATAGAGTGACATGAGATCCATGTTCCCCAAGTGATTTACAACTTATAATGGCATGAATAGTAGTAGTTAGACATGGTTCAAAGAGCAATAAAACAAAAACATTTAAGTATAAACAGGTGTATGCTGTTACATGTTTAAAGCTACTTAGGATAAACAGATGTAGCTTCATGTTGCAATTTGAACTCATTCTAGAAAGAAAAAAGGGTAATTTAGATTTTTTTATTTATCGAATATTTTTGTGGTTATGAGATTGGTCAAATTAACTAACCTTGTATAGAGTGACGGTAGAGAAAATAACAAATAAAAAGTTTTACTGAAAACAAACATTTGAAATGTACTTAGGAGGTTTTAGGGATTACCCAAATGAAATTTGAAATTTTTGAGAAGAAAAATATTTTTAATCATTAAAATGAAAATCACTTTTCACACGAGCTAGTAAAAAACTTTATATTCATGGACAATTTTTTTTTTTTTTAGTTTATTAAAAATACTTCACTAAAAATATAATTTTTATATATGTGAAAGGCTTATAATGTTTACTGAAAGTCTAAAAAATTTTGTGAAGATATACGTACTGTATTAGAAGTTAATAGCATCAAAATTATAAAGACCTTAAACAAATACAAAGTGGTCATATGGTTGGTCAAATCAACCAAGCCCGTGTGTATAGAGAGTTAACTGAGGCAGTCAGTGTATGGACTCAGTCTGCTCTGTACTTTCTCTGAATGTTTTTACTATACTATAATAGTACAACCACCCTTTAGTTCAAACAAGTTAATTTGTATATCTCTATCCTTTTTGGCAATTCTTAAATTTGTCATGCCCTTTGGTCCCCCCTCCCCCATAACTGTGGGGGCAAACTTGCACCACTGCATGAAGTGCCATGTGTCTTGTATGCTTTTAGGAGAAATGAGTTGTTTATTAAAGTATTGTGTTTTTATGGGACATAAATTTTTTTTCAAAATTTTGCTTAGTTTTCTTCTTGAATTAAAGTATTTGTAAATTAGACAAAAGAAAAACTGAAAGAGGACTAAAGCTCACTACATATGTTAATTAACTTTTTGCAGGGAACTACTGATAAAATATCCAGCATGCCTAAGAAAGAAGCAGAAAAACAAAAGATTGGAGAAAAGGGTACATTTTGAATTCTTTATTCAAGAAATATTTGAGAAATTATCATCCAGCAAAGTGAAAGAGTGAAAATTTGTTTTACAAAGAAAACTTAAGATTTATTCATAATAAGAAAAACATTCTGAATTTATTATTCTAGTTTTGGAAATATATAAAAGATCACATGTGTGGATTTTTTTTTTTTTCATGAAATTACACACCTGATTAATAACTTTACAAACTACTTGTGTGTTTATAAACTTAAATAAAATGATGGAAAACACGTTGTTGCTATTGAATATGCTTAAAGAAAAAGTGGTTCAAATTTTTCATAAAGATGTTTATGGCCATATGTTAACAGTTGTCTGTATTTTTTTTTTTTCATACAAGTTCATTCCTTTGAATGTTGGTGACAACTTGTATATTGTTTTATGAGTTTAACACTACATTTTGTTTTGTTTTTTGTCCTCACTTCTTTTCATTTCTGCACTTCTTTTTATCTGTTACTCATAAGTTAAAATGTGTTTTGCTTGACTATGAAAGCACTCCATATTTCATTAGATACTCTGAGGTGAAATAAAATGAAAGATGGATACCAAGTTTAGCTGCCAATTTTATATTCATATGACGCAAGAAATAATAACTGTGTACATATAAAGTTTTTTGTTTTCTTTCCAAGATAATACAAAGGCTCCAACTCGAGTACTACCAAGTGAAAACTTCCAGCAGCCCAATAGCAGTCGGAAACGTCTTGCTTCTCCACGTCAACAGTCAGTGCCTTCTAGGCCAAATTTGACTAAGGCTCAGCTTGCTGATAAGAAATCTACAAGTTCTCGAAGGGAAGAATTGTTAAAACAGTTAAAAGCTGTAGAAGATGCAATAGCTAGAAAAAGGTCAAAATTAAACTAAGACTTGGATATGTAGTTAGCTATGAAAAAAAAGAAGAAATTAACATGATAACTTGATATAGGGTGTTGGTCAAATTAGTAATGCCATCAGTGCTGTTCTGTAGCTTAAAGTATAATTGTTGGTGTTTTTATGTTGAAAGTGAAAAGATTTTTGTTTAGACACCAGCTCTGTTGGTCATTTCTGTGTATTAGAAACACTTGACTGATTGTACATACATTGTAATTTTGTGTAGTTATTTCAAAATAGAACAATCTAAACTGTTCTCTTATAGATTACAATGTTGTTTTTTGAACAATAACATTTTATTTTTTTTAGCTACCAAGTTAAAAATTAGTTAATATTTTAGTGCTTAAAGCACTTTTAATATGTGCAATTATAGATATTTCCGTCTCTCATAGAAAATTAAGTTGTGTCACCTATGATAAAAAAATCTGTAGTTTTTCAGTATCATTTAGATGATGTGCAAACCAATCAACTATTAAAGTACCATATAGGGGAGGTACCAACAGAACACCAAGAGTGTTAATAACTATAAACCTTTAAATATGTTTGGCTCTCTACTATTCATAATAATTTCAGTTTATTGAAAAAAACATTTTGAAAATAATAACTGGATCATAGCCCTAATCTGTATCTATAAATGGGGCTTAGTGTGATCCAATGGCTGGTATGCTCACCTGTGGATCTGATGGTCCATTGTTTGTGACCTATTGCAACAAAATTTCCTTCTGCACTTGAGGGCCGTGGGAGCATTATAAGAGTGATGGTCAAATCCCACTTTTTAATCAGAGTACCCCAAGAGTTAATGGTGGTTGGTGTTGACTAGCTGTCTTCTTTCTCTAGTCTCTCTTTTTTTTTTTTTCAAAATTAGGGACTCCTAGCAGTGGTAGCCCTTTTATTAGCTTTGCATTAATATAAAAAAAAAACAAATATAAATGATTTCTGTGCATGATATTTACCATTTATTAAAAGAAGTAATTAATTTCTGCATCTAAAAGTCATGAGCCATGGTTATATTTTCATAGTTTGCCTTTGAATTTACAAATATTGTAAACCCATCACAAACACACACACACAACTGTAAGGAAAAATGTTGTGGCAATGTCTCAAGAGACTTGAAAACATTTTACTGGTTGATGCATTTAATGCTATAAATTATTATTTCTTAATAAAATAGGATCAACTGCCAAAGGCATTTCAATGACAATAGCTCACAGTTCACTGTAATATTTTATTTACATGAAATTTCTCCATTTTATACTCTGAATCCTTTTTTTTTTTTATTATTATTTTTTTTTCTTTTTTTTTTTTTTTTTTTTTTTTTTTTTTTTTTTTTTTTTTTTTTTTTTTTTTTTTTTTTTTTT